CAAAAAGTCTTCAATATCATTAGCTAACAATTTATGATCAATAATTCAACGAAATAAACGAATACAATCAGCTTGATAAATTTCAGGTCGAAGTAAATGAGTTTGCCAAGCTATTTCAATATCTAATGTAGGAACTAATAGAAGATTTGTTGGATGAGATGCTTTTAATCGCATAAAACGATAATATATTATAATCATTTGTTTTAAAATAGATGATTGTTGCCATTGTTCTTGAAACTTCGATGCTTTTTCTAATAATTTTATAAGTTCACGAGCTGTATCTTCAATATTGACTGACAATTCAATCGTCATACACAGAAAAGAAATTATTATAATCCAGTGATAAAAGATATTCTTTCTGTATTAGAATCTATAGATAATGAAAAGTAATATTTCAACCTAGTTTATGCGTTGTAATATGAAGAGTTTCTTCGCTTAGAAAAACAGCTATTAGTGAATGGCCTATGGAATAAAAACATAAAAAGCGTTGCAGTTGTTGTTGCTAATCGCATGAGAAATTTCTAATCAGGTCTATGTGGAGTATGTATGTACAAATTTGTATCCCATACACATCAACATACTTTTTTAAATCGTGTCTGGACAAAAAAAATTAGATCAATGAAGCTAAGTTTACTAATGTGTTACCTATTGTTTTCTTATCTAGCTCGTACATTGAAAACCAGTTGCATGCTCTGTGATTGTTTCAAAAATATAAAGCAATAAAGAACATATTTCATATATTAAAAATATTACTATATAAAATTCGTCGACTAGGTTATGAAATAAAATACTTGTATCAAAAAAAAAGAAGATTTTCTTACATGGTTGATGATGAATTTGGATGCTGAGTGAATCCACCAATAGATTCAAAATTATATTTTCCTGTCGGTCGGGTAGGACATACAGGATGTGGAATTCGAACATATGTAGTTCTGAAAGATAATGCTATGCGTCGTAGACGTTTATTATGTAAACATTTTCCATGCATCCAATCCATATAAATTTGTTTAAATGATTTGGAATATAATTTGTTGATGCTAATCAATAGTTTTAACCTTTAACTAGAATATTAAA